TACCTGAGACCCTGCTTGGAGTTGTTTCCCCAGGAAAGTAGACAGGGAGTAATTAATCCCATTAGTTTGGTCAATCTAGACAACCAAGCTGGCTCACCCACCAAAAGTTCTTTTCTCTGAATATCCAAGGGATTTAATACATTTCATATACAGATTATAGTAAACAAGAATATTGATCATTGTTTTAATCCCCAAACCCTTTTTGGCTGATTTTTGAAAATAATCTTTCCCCCTTCTTCCCCAAAATATAATTACAATATTACATCATCATTCTCAAAAAGCGTTCATGATAGGCTCTATATACCTCAGAGCTGGGACAATAGCAACTCTTAATATAGACACAATCTTTATTGTTAAGGACACAGACTGGACCCATCACTTTCATCACCATTAGTCTAAACAGATGCCACCTGAAGAATGTGACCTCTTTCTCTGCATGAACCCTCCCCTCACCATTCCCTCCCAGATAGAATCATGGAGAGTCAGCGGAAACATAAAAAACTTAGAAAGCATATCATCTACCCTCTGCGATTTTACAGCTGAGAACGGAGGGCCATAGGAAAAGAGACCTGCCCAAGCTTACAGCCCAGGCGCTGGCTGGCACCCAGGCTCCTCACTCCCAGGTCTGCCCTTCTCTCCTAAACCCAACTGCCCCTCGGAGTTCATAAAGGTATTTAGACTAAGAGCACACTTAAAAAAAAAAAAGCTCCAACAACCCTTTTTGGACCCAAGATATATAAAGAAGGGGCTGTCTTACGCCTTTCTTCCTCTCAGATGTGTTCCTGGAATGTCTTCACCAGATGTTTACCCAAGAAATTACAGTCGCAGAGTCTTCGACATGTGCCGTGCATTTTAAAAGCAGCATTTTAGACCTGAACCCAATTAATGATTTTCTTTTCTTTTATATATATATATATATATATAGAAAAGGGGGGAAATTTTAGTTTTGCCTGCAAGTGATCCGAGTCTTTACAGAGTCTGCGTTAACATCACCCACTTTCACTCTGGGACGTGCTAGTCTCACAGTCTAGTTTTGTTCAGACTTTATTTTGCTCCACTCGTCCACGCTGCAGAAGGTGGGGGTAGGGAGCTGGGGGACGGCTCTTCTCCCCGCCCCCCCTTCATATACGTGAAGCAATTTGGAATCATTCCACTTGGCGCTCTCTCGCTCTCTCTCTCTCTCTCTCTCTCTCTCCACACACACACACACACACACACACACGTGTACCATGCATGTGCGGGCGCCTGCAGATCTGTGTACAGGCGCGTTTGTGATTTAAAGTGACAGGACCCAGAGCTGGACTGAAGAAGTGAGTTATTTTGCGTGATAAATCAACTTGGTTGTCTCCACACTGTACTTCCATTATTCACCGAGCGCCGGCGGCTGCGGCGGACGTGCACTGCGGCAACCGTGTCCGCGGAGCCGCGGGTTCTGCGGCCGCTGCGGCGGGGCGGCGGCGGCGGCGGGGGCGCGGGGGCGCGAGCACCGACTGATTTTTCCAGATCGCGTCTCCTTCCGTGCAACTCGCCAAATCAGAACCCAGCTGCCCGCAGACGCCTCTCGGGATGCGTGTGGATTGGGTCTTGTACCTGAGATTTCTTTCCACGCTTCTTTCTTTGGAGGGAGGAGCCGAGCTGGAGGCGCAGGAAGGGAGATGTACCTTTTCTGTTTTATTTTCCATTTACGCTCTTTTAAAAAAGAAAGAAAGAAAATGGCTACCACCGCTTCCAGGGCACTGGGGAGGCCAGACCTTTGCAGATAGGGAGATGATGCTTTAAATCTCTTTCTTCCCTCCATCCCTCCCCCTCCCCTCCCCTCCTCCTGGCAGCCCTGCGACAGCCAAGGGAGGAAATGGCCAGAGGCACTTGTGTGGGTCATTTGTCCTCACTCTCGATTTTTCCTTCGGACAAATAGCCACCAGTTTTCTTTTTCTTTACAAACTGGTCCTTTTTATCTGCTGTCATATGTTTAATAAACTATGTCCGGAACACGTTTGGCTTGTCTTTTGCTTGAACACCTAGCGAAGCAGCGATGGGCCGGCCGCGGGGCGTCGGGGAGGGGGCAGTCTCGCTACCAGATCGGTAGGGATCACCTGGGGCAGACACAGCCCAGTGGTTACAGACACTTTTTTTTTTTTAGGGACCCGGGTAATTAACAAATTAATGACCAGATGTGTATTGATGCCTGCGAATTCTAAAAAAGCACAACCAGAATTCCACTTTCACGTATTAATGATGGAATTGCTGTTCCCTATAGCTGGGCATATGGACCTTACCAGACTGATCATTTACATTTAAAAAGGAATTCCAAAGACCCGGGAGACTGCTTTGGTGTCCACTTTGCAAGGGGGTGGGAAGCCCTTTCCATTCATAAAGGTGGCATTGACATATTTATTCTGGATTTGTACTTCTCCAGAAGCTGCCTCCAAAGCTATAGTCACATTGGGGAGATAATCGCGGTGTCAGTGTGTGAGTAATGACATCGTGTTGCATAATAATAATTTAAGCAACTGTGTCTTTGTTTACAGTGATGTAACTTTCCCAAAGTTTGTTTGTAGCTTTAAAGAGTTTAAGAGCAGAGCTGATTGCCAATGAGTAACTGCCCAGAGGAAAGTGAGCAGGATTCAAAGCTCTGGCTTGGGCTCCCTGCTCCCATCTGTATCTGTAATCCCAACCTGTAGATACCAGGGGCGGGGTGGAAAACGACCCCATTTTCCTTAGAGAGATTGGGAAGGAAGAGGCCGAGCTGATGACTTGACAACCTGATAAAGTCTGCCTGAATTGTTAGTAATATGAAATAATACTTCTGTCCAAGGCAAATCAAAAAGCCAGATGCAGCCGTGCAGTGAAAATCCAGCTCAGTTCAATGTGAACATATAACATGGTTGAAATGCAGCTTTTTAATGAGTGTGTCTCAAGTAGTAAAAATGAGTGCAAATAAATTCAAAACTAATCACCTCAGTTGTTCCAACATTTAAGACATACTAAGTTGGGCATGCATTTGGGCTGTTGTTTCACAGCCCATGATGTGTAGACAGTGCACAATTTCCATGTTATAATGGCTTGGAGATAGAGGGGTATTTTGATTTGGTCATTAGAGTAGAGACAAATGAGAGCAGGTTAATATCTCGGTCCACAGAAACACGGCCTACCAACTCTGGGAAGCCCACACTCTCCCAGGCAGCAAAACCTCCACTGTCCTTTATTCATAAAGACCCAGATTCCAAGGTCTTAGAGTTGGGCATGAATCTTATTTATAACTATAAAAAGTGATACACCAAAATGTACTGATTTACTTATGAATGTATGAAAACTAACAGATAAAGAAGTCTTTGTTGGGCATTAGGCAGGGCTCGAAACTTGGGAAACACTCCTCTAAAGTTTACCTGAATTAATACTTCTCGGGATATCTTCTGTGTAACCATGATTTGTCATCTATAGAGGCTCAATTCAGGCAGGAGAGTTAGCTTTTTAAAACTTTTGTGGTATCAAAGTTTTTCTTAAGGGAAAAAATCTCAAATGAAGCTTTCTTATTATAGGAAAAGTTTAGTGAAAGTCTTAATGTGTTACTGCTTTAACTAAAGTGAACTAAAGTATCTAAATACTATAAACATTAATTACGATGTTTTCTCAATTAATCATGTTTTTATTTTTTTTAAGTGTTTTTATTTTTTTAAGTAACATAGAGTAGGGTAGTAAAAAACTTCAGATTTTCTCATATTGGAATTGTCCTATCAGTAAAGTGTTTGTAGGATTGCATTAAATTTTCATATCACAAATTGTGAAACAGGGTTGTTGTTTTTTTTACTTCGAAGTTAATTCAATTATTTTATCTACAGTCCATGGAAGTCTATTACTATTGCACCTGGTAAACTCATTAAGATCAATAGTATGTAATATTATACAACACAATTTTTGAAAATTAAAGCAAATACCTTGAACACATGGAAAGAACTGGAGTGATCAAGATATAATGTCAAAACAATACAGACACTTGTCACACTATGGGTTTGAGTCATTACTGACATTCAATTTTACAAAAGCAAAAAAAGAAAAGGAAGGATGAGTTTTATAAGCTCTTCAGTGCTTTTCCAATTAAGAACATTTAGCTTGGAAAACAACAGGTGTTTGTATCACTGTTATTATCTACCCAGAAAACCTCTCTTCTGGTCATGCTACCAAAAAAAAAAGATTCAAATACTATTTTAAATAGCACCTGATATACATTGATATTACAATGAGTCAAATATCTGTAACATAAAATTCAATTGTCTTGTCAAATTTTGACTTTGAGAAACTAAATTGGACACTAATGGCTATATTTTTAACATGTTATAAAGCAAATATCATACATATCACATTTTCAGAATTTACTCAAATATTATACTGTCATCAGAATGCAGGATTTACTGCAAACTGATGCTCAAATAGAAACTTTCACAATATAGTCCTAATATAAGGCATCGGATTTGGAGGGAGAGCAGTGAGGTAGGATGCACCTCGTTGTTTGATACAACTTCATGTGCCATATGTTTTTACTGACTTGGGGAAGGCTATTCTGCTCTGGCCTTCTGGCAAATAAGGTAACCCGGGCTTGTCTACAGTCACTTGTCTCTTTGACGGCCAGATCACCACTTATTTGTCCCGCATTCCCAGGCCTCATGTAGTGCCGGCTACAGCAGCATTCAGTAAATGTTTTCCAGACTTAAACTTATTTGATAGTTCCACTTTTTTCTTAATTTTTGATAGTGAGTATAAATTTTGGAAGTGGATAGGGCTAGTAGAAATACTTTGGCAGAAAACCAGTTGGGAGATTTTTGTTTCTATATGCTATCTCATGACAAATTAAAATATTTGTGATTTATTGTCAACTTTATAGCCCTTGGGAGGACTAGCAAACTAATAGGAATAATGTTAAAACCAGAAACACCATTCTTTGGCTGCTTCCTTGAAAAAGTACTTTTTTTTTTAATATACCAAAAGCATACCAAGTACCTTACAAACTTTACATTTTCAGCTCTCTGCCTGGCTCCGCTTGCAACAAACTGGCCATTTCAAGCATCTTTGCCAAACCGAAGCACTCTTTATAATTGGTTCTCCTTGCTCTCATTTCAGTTTTCTTTCCTTGGTAAACAAAAGTGAAAACTATGCCAAACTGCCAACATTTATTGAAGGTTAAATGCCTTTATTTTTCCCAGCATTATTTTACTGAATATGGCATTAGTTACTGAATGATCTTAATATCTACAATAACCCCAGGCATTTTTCTTGCATATTAAAACAGAGCATTTTTCCAAACAACTTGTTTCTGCGTTCATGTGATCTAAGATAGAAACCAGCTTCTTGTCTTCACCCATGAAAGGGATCAAGAGTTGTTTTCATAGGTACCCAATCTGCTGATGTAACACAGCTCATAGCTTTCATGGTAAAAAAAAATAAATAAAATAAATATGAAGTATATAACAAAGGAAAGCAGCATCATTGTTTTTTATGATTTTTATAATATTATTTAAATAAAAACATTATATAAAGTCAGAACTAGACTATTTATATCCCAATTATGGAAAAAGTCCACTTAATCAAATATGAACCTTCTTAAGTTTTCTTATAGAATATAAGGTATCAAATTAATATGTGCTATTTAATTTTAACATTGCAAATAAAGAGATAATCTCCTGTTGGAACTTTTAAAAATTGCTCTAATGTCAATATTAATTGGCAAAGTAATGACTTGAAAACATCAGTATACTACCAACCATGGTGAGTGGTTTTCACAACTCAGGGAAAATGGTGGTTGAATATTTTTTATTGTAAGGAGAAGTGTTGTACAGTATTATTTGCCAAGGTGAAATAAATTTGATCTAAATGTCTTTTGCTCTAGGTTAGGCTCTGGGACATGTTGACTAAGTTTACCACTTTCAAAGCAAAAGGAAAAACTGAGATAATGGAGTAGGAAAAGGATAGGCTACTTGTTGTGAACCCCTACAATCTATTTTTTACACTGTGGTTAGAGTGCTTTTTCTGAACAAAAACTGATGTTGCTGCCACCTTCTTTAAGCCCCTTCAATGGCTCCGCATTAACGTCAGGATAAAGTCTAAAATCCTTAAAGTTGGTCACTAGGCCCAGAGTGCTCTGACCTATATTTACCACTTCAGCATGGCCTTGGCACCTGCTCTCCCACCAGCTTGCAGTCCATTTTATTTCTTCTTTCAACTGCCACCCTAGTCTTCCTCTGCCCTATCTCTCCCCTGGCCCTGATAACTCCTATTAATCTTTGAGTAAAACCTGTTCTGACATTCAAAAAACATTTCCAAAACACATGGATGGACCCATAAACCAAAGAAAATATGCAGAATCATAGATGTTTAGAATTTTAAAAGATCTTGAACATCATTTTTCAGATGAGGAAACTTACAATGGTTCTGATGATCAGGTGACTTCAAAGATCATACAATTAACAGGAGAGCTGAGTCTAGAGTCCAAGATTCCTGATATTTGTGAAATTAACTCTGTAAGTGAAATAAGTCCTTAAAGCATTTGTTCAATTTTTTTCTCCAAAGATAAATTAAGGTTGCTACTTACACCTCAAAAAATTACAAATAGAATTACCATATGATTCAACATTTCCACTTCTGAATATGTACCCAAAAGCATTGAAAGCAGGGACTCAAATAGATATTTATACACTATATTCATAGTAGCATTATTCATAATAGTAAAAATGTGAAAGCAACCCAAGTTTTCATCAATGGATGAATAGGCTAAACAAAAAGTGGCATATACATACAATGGAATACTATTCAGCCTGAAACATGAAAATTCTGGCACATGCTACAACATGCATTTATCTGAAGACATCATGCTAAGTGAAATAAGCCACTCACAGAAGGACAAATACTGAATGAATGCTGAATCTAAGGTACCTAGAGAAGTCAAATCCAGAGGGACAGAAAGCAAAATGAGTTCTAGGGCCTGTGAGAGAAAGAAATGGGAAGTTATTATTTAACATTTACAAAGTTTCAGTGTGGGATGATGAAAAATTCTGGGGATTGATTATGATGATAGTTGCACAACAACGTGAATACATGTAATGCCACTGACCTGTATATTTAATAATGGTTAAAACGGTAAATATTATGTTATGTATATTTTATCACAATAAAACAAAACTGCTGTTTCCCTAAGGGACCTACCAGTAGAGTGTCAGATCATGCCCTGTCTCCCTACCCTGACCCACACACCATTCTTTTTTCTGTAATGTTTTTGGTTGACTCATAATCCTGCTTCTTAGCCTATTAACTGGGCTTTGAGCCAAGCTACCCACTTGTTACTGCTTGTGTATCCAACACAACAACAACTCTAACTCTACAACTTCCTTGCGGGACTGCCCTTTGCTGACCCCATTTTGAGTCACCTTATGAAAGAGAGAGGTCAAGAGAGACTGGAGTGCTAAAGGATAGGGGTGGAAAAGAGAGTCTGAACTCCGAGTGTCCATGCCAAAGAAGTTTCCCAGTTCCCATTTCCTGTCTCTCCAGACTACTTTTTGGAGGGTGGAATGTGATCTTAGAGTGAGTGTGGGGAAAAAAAACACCACCAGGATCAGAGGTGTCAACCTCAACTAGTTCTCTCTTTTTTGCTGATTTTCTGTGCCTATAGACACTGATATCAAGCTAGGTACATTCTAATTTAGCAGTATCAGGAGCACTTCGTATCACTAGCCCCAGGCACTCAAGCTGAAGTTGAGGAATTTCTAAAATAGTCCTTTAATAAGATGCCATCCTTCCCATTCCCTCTATCCTTATGGCGGTTGAAATCTCACCCAGGGAAGCTTAGTAAAGACTGTCCTCTTCACAACCCTGGTCTGTGTGTATGTATGGCAGTGATGGGGATGATGGTGGTGGGAGGTTATGTGCTAAATTTTTTGAGACCTCATAATGTCTGTGTTGCTTTTGAACAAACAACCCTTCTTGAATTTGAATGTTATAATCATACTAGAGGCCCGGTGCACAAAAATTTGTGCACTCGGGGGGGGGGCGGTCCCCCAGCCCGGCCTGTGCCCTCTCGCAGTCTGGGACCCCTCAGGAGATAACGACCTGCTGGCTTAGGCCTGCTCCCGGGTGGCAGAGGGCAGGCCCAATTCCTAAGTGCAGCCCCTGGTCAGGCTCAGAGCAGGGCCGATTGGGGAGTTGGGGCACTGCACCCTGTCACACACAGAGCAGGGCAGATCAGGGGGTTGGGGCGCTGCACCCTGTCACACTCAGGGCAGGGCCAATGGGGAGGTTATGGCTCTACCCTGTCACACACAGAGCAGGGCCCGTGGAGGGGGGTTGGGGCGCCACCCTCTATCACCCACAGAGCAGGGCCGATCAGGGGGTTGGTGCGCTGCACCCTGTCAAACACAGAGCCGCAGGGCAATCAGGGGATTGGGGAGCTCCCCCCTATCAGGCACAGAGCAGGGCAGATAGGGAGGTTGTGGCCCTGCCCCCTGTCAAACACAGAGCCACAGGGCAATCAGGGGGTTTGGGCGCTGCCCCCTGTCACGCTGATCCCGGTGCCGGGAGGCATATTACCCTTTTACTATATAGGATAGAGGCCTGGTGCATGGGTGGGAGCCGGCTGGTTTGCCCTGAAGGGTGTCCTGGATCAGGGTGGGGGTCCCCACTGGGGTGCCTGGCCAGTCTGGGTGAGGGGCTGAGGGCTGTTTTCCGGAAGCGAGTGACTGAAGCTTCCAGCCGCTCCTTGTTTTCTTTTTTTTTTTTTTTATTCTGGGCCAGCTTTAGCTCTGAGGCCTCGCCGCTGAAAACATCCATACAATGTTGCTAAAGCCCGGCTGAATGAATGCCGGTTTCTGGGGTTTTGTTTAGCTTCTTATTTGCAACATAGTACATAGTTGCTTAGAGTTGCAACTGAGAGGCCGGCAAGTGAGGCGGGGAACGTTGGAGTCCGTAGTCACTGAAGCAAGCAAGCCTCATGCTCGCTTCCAGCTGCCTGGCTGCCGGCCGCCATCTTGGCTGACAGTTAATTTGCATGTACTCACTGATTAGCCAATGAAAAGGGTAGCAGTCGTACACTAATTACCATGTTTCTCTTTTATTAGTGTAGATGAATACTGTGTATTTTGTAAGTTTTTACCTTTTCTTTTTAAAATTAATTGCTAAGAAACTCAAAGTCAAATTATAAGTTAACCCAAAAGAGTACACAGGATTTCATTGTATGTATTTTGGATACTAATCTTGGCCTTGATTTTATCTTATATATATATCTTAATAGTGTCCTTTAAATAGAAAGATAGATAGATATAGATATTTAGTTAATTAATTATCCTATATAATAAAAGCCTAATATGCTAGGTGTCCAAACGACCGTTTGACTGCTTGACTAATCGCTATGATGCACACTGACCACCAGGAGGCAGACGCTCCAACCAGTAGATTAACTTGCTGCTGGGGACCAGCCGATGGAGACAGGGCGAGTTGGGCAGGACATGCCCTGGAGCCCTCCCCAGCCCAACTGTACACCAGTGGGGTCCCTCGGCCTGGTCTGCACCCTCTTGCAATCCAGGACCCTCAGGGGATGTCAGAGAGCCAATTTCAGCCCGATCCCCATAGGCCAGGCCGAGGGACCCCACCGGTGCACAAGTCCATGCACCGGGCCTCTAGTATATTATATTTATGCTGCCTCTATTCCAAAATGTCTTGGAATGGAGATATGTAGATATGTGTGTTTGTGTGTGTGTGTGTGTGTGTGTGTGTGTACATATAGAGGTAGGGTAGGTAGATAGATAGATAGATAGATAGATAGATAGACATCTCCACTCCAAAACCTTTTTGAATAGAAGCAGGATAAATATGACTAACTAAGTATCCATATTCTGTAT